GTCTCGGAAGGATTGGACGTACGACAACAGTGCGGGGAAATACGAAGAGGTGGTCTGTGAAACAAATGCTGCTTGATGGTGGAGGCATGAGAACAGGAATAGAAGGGAAGGAAAACAGCCAGAATAATACGTCGGTAAAGCAACATGTTTCACTCGATGTTGCAATACAACTCACTTCTGGAGACAAGTTCATTAGGTTCGGGGCTTCAATCGATCACGCAGTGATTTGGATTATTTCAATTAATTAGGCGTTGGTCGCTTTGATGTGGGACTGACTACACGCTAGATACGCAAGACTTATGATCTTGTGAGTTACCGCGCAGTTTAAACTTTTAAACTGCTCTGCTTCTTACGATTTTATTTGCGTTGGGTGGTGAAATAACCTTAGTTATTTCACAAACTTACTGGAGCTTAGTATTTACTAAGGTCTACTTTTATTCGGATAGCTTAACTCTCCGACACGTGTGTTTTTACCAAAGTGTTTTTACCGTTTTTTGTGTTCCATTGGTGTGATTCTATCTATTGTGTAGTTTTTTACCGATAATCTTGCAATTTTGTATCGCATACTCTTTTTTTTCGAGAAGGAATCAATTGTATAATGGCTGGCCAGAACAATCGTAACACATGTGGGAATAGGGTTTGTCAGAAAGTTGTGATTTCTAGTATCTAGTGCGATAGATGCCAGGATTGGTATCATCAGCTGTGTTCGAACTTAACAAAGCAAGATTAGCAGCTGCACACGAAGCATGAAAGCCTGAAGTGGACGTGCACACGCTGTGTAATGTTTACTGAAGAGTGCGCTAGATTACTGTTAGGCTTACTTGGGTCAAGGACACAAGACGCAAACGATCGGCAAGAGCAGCTCTCCCAGATTGCGATGCAGGGAAACGCCAAGGGTGAGCGGGCAACAGCTACGAGAAGCTCAGAACAGCTAACCCAGGGGAAAAAGAACAACACGACGAAGAAACCGTCTGAGGCCAGCTGGGAGACGTTAAGGAAAGAAATAGATGATTTGAAGGCACAAATGGCGAAGATAAAGGCCATCACCGAAGGGGTCTTTGCAAGGAGCAGAAGACTGCTGTTGCACAATTGCGCAGAACCGGTAGTAAACGAGGCAAAGGCCAGACGGGAAATGAACCACAGGCATGTAATGAATGCCTTTAGACTGGCAGGGCTGCCACCGGACACAAAATACAGCAAATGTCACAGGATTGGACTGTGGAAGGGCCCCAAATCACCCCATTCACGACCACTGTTGATAGTATTCCATGGAGCTTCTGGCAAGAGCAGCTAGAGTGGAACTGAGTACTAAGGGGCAGTTTAAAATTACACCGGATTCTCCCTTTAGTGTCAGTACTACTCAGTCCAAAGAGGCGTATAGAGCAGCCGAGCCAAAACTGAAGGACCCGGTTATACGACTCGTCAAAAGAGAAATCGGCCCCCTCAGTAGATCAACACCGAAGGCAATACCTGCTGTCGGTAAGGATGGGTCAGTCGCCGTCAGGGTGGAAACTAATGTGAATAGTTCACTGGCGACGAGAGTTTCTCCGAAGGTGCTCCAGAAAAAAGAACAAATAGCGGTGGTGGGAGCCAAGATCCGAGTAAATCGAGCCCCACCAACACCAAGTGAACATCTTTGCAGTAGTGACCAGGGAAGCCCGGTTAGCTGGGCAACCGTTGTTGCTC